TGTCTGTCTGTCTGTCTGTCTGTCTGTCTGTCTGTCTGTCTGTCTGTCTGTCTGTCTGTCTGTCTGTATATAATACAGTCAGTATTTGGACAGAGACTACATTTTTTGAACTTTGGTTCTGTACTAGCCTGGCCCTTACCTACACAGTTCCGCTTGAGTCTAATCTCCCTTCACTTCACTGGGATTTCTCCCACTGAGATGGATTTCTATGGTAGAATTTCAACTGAGCCAATCAACAAACAGAAGGAGAAGTTGTGACTGCCGCCGCTGATTTTCTACTCTGTTTTAGTCTGCCTGTAGTTTCGTAATGGCAGTTGGCGGTTTTGAAAGAGTTTCTCTTCACCATAGAAATTATTYTGCCATGATCCACCATTGTGGCATCCAGGTCTTTTTGCATTGATGAGTTCACCAGTGCTTTCTTTCTTTCTCAGGATGTWGTCACCTTCCTACAAAACAAAAACCTTGACATTAAATCTGAGGATTCCATCTGTGATCTGATGTTGATATTCAAGTATTGGTTAAATATTTATCACTGGCATAACTGCAACTTTGTGATTGATTTTTGAGCATTAATCTCAAAATCTGCTGATATTGAATTAAATCCACGAGACCTTTAACTTTATAATACTAGCATTGGGCACACAGCCTCAAAGCGTGGTGGAACTGCCAGCAAATTTTACAGGTAGCAAGTGTTTTTCTTTTAATGCTGTGGGGTTTTTTTTTGCAGCCATGCATAACGCCCTTTGTGACCAAACAACTCAATTTTTGTTTCATCAGTCCACAGCGCCTTATTACAAAATGAAGCGGGCTTGTCCAGAAGTGCTTTGGCATGCCACAAGTGACTCCATTTGTGCTGAAATGTTGAACAATGCACAGTGACACCATCTGCAGCAAGATGATGTTGTAGGTCTTTGTTCTCTGCTTCTCAGCTTCTCTTGGCCTGCCACTTCTGAGCTTCACCAGAACTGTGCCTTATTATGCTCCTCACAGTGGAAAGTGACAGCTGAAATCTCTAAAATAGCTTTTTGTATCCTTCCCCTAAACCATAATGTTGAATTATCTATTTTCAAGTCATTTGAGAGATATTTTGAGGCCCCTGCCTCTCAGAGGAAACACAAAGAGGAGAACAACTTGCAGGGTAAATACATTTGCTCATGATTAGATRCACTTGTCTCTGGAGTTCAAGGCTTAATGAGCTTACCAAACCAATAATGTGTTCCAATAAATCAGTGCTAAGTAGTTTAAAGGTGTTCAAATAAACAAAATGACAAATTTTTGCACCTGTCAAATTTTGGTTTCATGCAAAATGCACTTTTTCTGTTATTCCAATAAATCTCCTTTCACTACTGAAATATTACTGTGTCCATGTGTCAAACTGACATACTGTAGCTGATTCAGACAAACAAATATTTGGAGATGAACATAATTAGGATAATCGGGGTGCCCAAACCTTTTCATATGACTAACTATATATGTAAGTAAGCAAGTAAAAAAACAACTTTGTGTCAGTCAGTGTCCAAATAGAAATGGACGCAACAGTAYACACAGTAAACCTATTTATAATATAAAACAGTCACAAGAAGGCAGGTTTGTAGCAGTAAAACATGTCTGAAAACCCAACAATTACATGTCTTAATTTTATTTTTACCTCCTAARCACAAAGTTCATTCTAAAACCTGGAAGCAGCATTTTGTTAGAAGTTAGCTCTAAACATGTATTCAAATAAAACGCTTAACTTGAAGCTTTAAACACAGCTTCCTGTGAGGTGCTTCCTGTGAGGTAAGAAGGCTGTGATTGTGAATGATAACGTTTTCAGTATCTTTTCTTTTCTTTTTTTATTTCGTTTTTTTAAATCACTTCAGTAGAAAAAAGAACTTAATATTAGTTTCTTAATTTCTTCATCATCAGTGATTTTTTTAGGTAAAGAGAAAATAGAGAAAGAGGGGAAAGAGAGAGAGAGAAGTAATTAGAAAGATCCAACAAAACACAGGACCACACACCCAACATCTGTCCGCTCACCTGAAAACTAAATGGATAAATACATGGATGGCATATATAAATAAATACACATACCCATACATATATAAAGATATACACATATACATATGTACACACAGACATATATACACCCTCAGTGACCAGTCAGAACCCCCCGGATCAGAACACCTGTCTGTGAGCAGTTGTGAACATGCGTGTATATACAAGATTTCTCCAATGGAATATTTAATAGTGACTGTGGAGGACCGGAGACCCAACCCCCAAGACACGAGGCAGACATAGGGAAGACCAGAGCCCAAGGGCCCGAGAGGGATCCCGAGCGCAGAGCCCCTTTGGGCTTCAGTATCRTTTCAAATGAATTGAAACCAGACTAAAAAGTCCAGTTAAGACTAGGACTGATCAGTTCATTTCAGGAGGAGCACTCACCATGTACCTGGACTGCAGCAGCGTGGAAACCAGAGGAGTCCAGAGTCAGAGACTGAGCCGAGTCTTGTCCTGTAGATGTTGTGGCAGCCGCAGAAAGGAAGGCAGGCGGTTGATAAGCACTTCCTGTATTTAACAGTGTTCATTTGCCTTCTGCAGCTGTCAGTTTTACCTCACAGCAGAGAGGCACCAAACTTCATTTCTCTTCAGTCATAACACCCCAATAAACCAACAATATTAGGAAAAAATACTACCGGTATTCTGTGCTATTTTGGTTCAAATATGGAAGYTTGTTTTATTTGATCTTTTTGAGTGACGAAAGTTTGTTCACTCATCATGAACTCGTGCTTTTATTTTTAGAATTTTCAAAATCTTTTGCAACCATTTTTGAAATAGTTCCTGTTGTGAAGAGGATTTTTTTAATTAAACCAAAGAAAAGCAGAGATTCACATAAACATGAAGTACGTGTTTTATTGTGACCGAGAAATTCACAGAAATAAAAAATACATTTTTACACAAAGGCTTTCTTCATTCTTCTACATTAAGTAACAGCAATGAATCCAACAAAGATATGATGATCAAAGAGCAAAGATGAAATACTTCAGTGCTCAGCAGAATGGTTACATCACATCAGCTGACAGCTGAAACAGGAAGTTTCTAAAAGTCAAGTATCTGTGGTTTTGATCAATCTAAAAAAAAGTTGGAAACAGTTCAGAATCAGTTTTTCTGTGAGTAAATGTGTTCCACATAATGCAAAGCTTATGTTAATTTTTTTACACAAGAAAACAGGTCAAATCTGTTCAAAACAATTCATCATAAATTCTTTCAAGTTTTTGAATGTTATTTTTTTGT